CACACACACACACACACACACACACACACACACACACACACACACACACACGCATCCATATCTCATTACATCTGCCAGACAAGTCTGCTGTGGGATATGTCCCAGGAGGGTCCAAACAGACCCGTTCCTGGTTGGTACGCATGCACGCGCACACACAAAACACATGCAGCATGCGCGCACACACAGTGGGAGGTGTGACACTGATACGGTAGCCCTCACTCTTTCTGGCAGAAGCCAAGGTAAAGAGCTCTCTGCTCTGTAAAAGTGATTTGCCAACATATCCTGCAAAGAATCACGAATTTGCATGTCTGGATTTACTACAGAATGAAAATGATCCCATCTCCGCTCTTAACACGGTGCACGACACCACGGCTGGCAGGCTTCTGTGTCTGCGAAGGCATTTTAATGTGCCAGATCAGCTGAGCTCCATGCTGCACTATTGATCAGTGTTTTCTCCTGCAGGTTCTCAGAAGCAGGAGTTAGCCTGTAAAAGGCTGGACGACAACTCAGTGGTACAGAACAACTACTGTGACCCAGACAGCAAACCTCCAGAAAACCAGAGAGACTGCAATACTGAGCCGTGTCCTCCAGAGTACGTAATACTCACTCATGATTCTTCTCTTTATGAGATGATTACTTTTGTAAAATCTGTCAAATGACTGAAATGAGAGAAAAATGATGAACAGAGTGAGTGTTACAAGGCCCAAGTAGAAGGTAACATCTCTAAATTGCTTATTTTGTCTCAGAATCACAGTACAGTGATAAAAAATTCAGAGAAAAGTTGTTACACTTAATAAAATTCCTTCTGTTTTCATCTGCTTATCAGGGTTTGGGTCATTAGGCCAGCAGCGGCGGCTCTAGCATTACTATAGAAACTTCCTTCTCTCCCACTACCCCTGCAGCATATTTAGGTTGTTAGTAGTCTGAAACAAGAGTTGTCTGACACAGATGCCCTTACTCCCTCACCTGGCTCCTTTAAATGCTTTTGAAGAATTCGGTTTCTCCTGCTTGTGTCCTATTCTGTCAGAAGGTAAATTGTAAATCTACAGCTTAGACCTTAGGCTTAGCTCCTATCATCATAACAGATAGTTGCACAGCTGCACTGATCCAGCCATCAGTCTTCCACTAAGTTGTTCCTCACAGAATTTCCTGAAAGAAACTTGAAACCAAAGGGGAAAAAAATGTAAATATTTTGATTTACAGTGTTGTTTCAGCATTAGGTGCTCTACTCCAACTAGGCTGCTTGGTATATTTGATGCAGTATGTTTTTTATATAGCGAAAGAAACCATTAAAACTAGTAATTGTAATATTTCACATATAAGGAAGTGAGAGTTTAGAAAAGTAATTATTGATCTTGAACTGGGTGGAACAGCTATGCGATGCAACTTGTAAACAAAGACATGTAAAGCAAGATGTGAATACCAGGCTAAAGTCCAAAGTGTGAATTTTTTACTCTTATATTTCCTAAACTACTAAATTGGCATGCAAAAACAAATTAATTAATCTATTTGCTTATTTTCTAAAAATCTTTAATGAAAGATGTCAAATTGCATATGTTCTTTGAATTACTATGCTTTAATAACAATGCAGAGAGATAAATACTCATTCATAAAAATAACAATTGTAATTATAATGGTATAACTGAAATTAGTTACATAATTTGTTAATTAAGAATGCAAGGGATGTTGACCATGGAGCTGAGGAAAACAGGAAGATGACAATGATGGTGTATGTATGTAGTGTGAGAGGATATGCAGTTTCCTGGTTGGACAGAAGATGATGTTGTGAGGATAGTGAGGACAGTGAAAAAGTGAGATGGAGGCAGATGATCAATGGTGGGCTGTAGCCAAAAGAAGATGAAATATTGGAAGACTGCAAACACTGTAAATATTGGGAAGTTGAGTTCTTCATTATGTCATTGCTTGGCTATTTTTGTGCTCAGTTTGGTCTCTGTCCTTGGCTTTTCCCACGCTAGATCGCATATTAGCATTCAAGTTAACTCATCTCCGGTGCTTATTCTAATTCTTCATTCTGTGTTTAGTGCTGATTTGAAGGAAATTCTGCCCAGGATACAAATGTTATTGATTGTTAAGTTGCGTACTGCTAATTTATGTTGGTCATGATGTGAAACAAATGCAAATGGAGTGCATAAAATGTGTATAGATGCTAATCGCTGTATTTGTGATGATGTTAATGCAACGTTAAGTATGTATTTGCTTACCTTTAGCTCTGTTTTCAGTCTCATCCCACTAAATGCTTCGTGTGATCAACTAGTTGGTAACTGGAGCACTACAGGGTATGAACCCAAAACATTTTGCTGAAACATGTAGGGGCATCGTGGTGGCACGGCGGTTGGCACTGTTGCCTCACAGAAGGAAGAATGAATGGGTCTCCGTGGGTTCTCTCTGGGTACTCCAGCTTGTTCAGAGACATGCACTTAGCAGGGTTAGGTTAATTGGTGATATGAATGTGAGTTTGAATGGTTGTCAGTCTCTCTGTGTTAGGCTTCAACAGACTGGCCACCTGTCCAGGGCGTACCCTGGCTTTCGCCCTATGGCAGCTGCAATACGTTCCATCCTGGATGGATGGATGCTATAATGCTTTTTTGACAAGGTAGTTCTCTGTAGGTTCATCATTTTGGTATGATCAGGATCTTTTGCATTACGTACTAACATTTAATGCATTGTTAATATAAAAACAATAATGAAAACACAGAGTATAGCAACCTAAGTTAATATTTTCAAAAGAAAAAGCCTCCATAAAAATGAGACTGACTCATGATATTAATTCGCCTTCAATGAGCCCTAGTTGTAAAATGTGTTTGGAAGAAAATAATAAAATAAAATGGCCGTGATTTATAACTTCATATGTTAACTATTTTCAATATCTGCTTCATGCCAGAAATAAGAGCTCTGAAAATGACCACCTGTGTTTGATTGTTTTGGCATCCTTACCAAACCTCGAGGGGTAACACACACGTATACAGGTGGAATATGAACTTGTGTTTGGTGGCCAAATGTCTGTAAATCCCTTCGCTGTAGCTGGAAGAATGGCCAGACTCACTTCAATAATGTCTGGAAAAAGAGGGATTAAATGCACCAGGTTAATTAGTTTCAGACTAGCTGACAATTATTTGTATATGAGAGGGAGCGCCAGTGTCTTTCAGCTGGGTGTCAGCCAAAAAAACTGATAGTATTGTAAATCTACTGTATCAGCGGTAATTTGTTTTCATATGTTCAGACTGCAGTCTTGGGTAATTTATTTTCACATCTGTATTCAGTGGTCGCAGACTTGTGGTATCGCATTTATTTTGATTAGTACTAGAAGGCCGTGTGTGTGTGTGTGTGTGTGTGTGTGGGGGGGGGAGTTAGAGCGCTCATGCGGCATTTGTGTTTGTTAGGAAGGCAAACACTCCTTTTGCAGCGTCAGGAAAGGCCGACTAAAGGAGACCATGTAAACACAATTGTTTTAGAATAGCCCAGGGTTTTATGGGCGCCGGTAATGAAAGCTAACACAGATGTTTGAACATGTCGTTAATTCTGTATACATTCCTTTAGATGATGTAATATCTCACAGGCTGGATGTGTTTGGAGGACTGTTGTCTGTGCAGTTTTATGATATTAATTCTAAAGTCTGGAGGGGGTTGAATATGACTGGGTCTAATTTTCTCAGGTTCTAAAGCTAATCATCCTGACATGGCATAGCACTAAAATGCACTCCCCAGCATTAGTTACCTGTCAGCCAGGCAGCAAGTTTAAACTTCTTTGAAAAGTGTGTAATTTCTTGTGGTATATAATTTTCTTTTATGTTGATGAGAATGGATATTACAGCAAATATTACAAAAGACAGCTTTCAAAATATTAAAACGGTTATTTAATAGTCTTATAAAAAAAAACCTATAATACTTTATGCTCTTTCTTTTTGTCCAGTGATACCACTGTCTTTTCTGTACATTAATTTAAAAAAGCCAGGCTAGGCCACTCAGTTGCCATATTTACCTTTTTTTTACTATATATATATTGATACTCTTGATACTGCAAAGTATTAATGTTTGATGCCTTGGAGTAGTTTGCTTCTTTCCCTCTTTGGCAATGTGACTATAGTAAAGTTATTTAATGTGTGTTTATAGTGAGTATAACCTCATAAAATCACTTTACAACAAAACTGTTAGCATTGGTTGCTCCATCCTCCAGATGGTTTATTGGAGACTGGTCAGAGTGTCCGAAGACGTGCGATGGAGGGATAAGGACGAGGACAGTCCTCTGTATCAGGAAGATTGGTCCCGCTGAGGAGGAGACACTGGAGGACACTCACTGTTTGACTCATCGGCCTATCGAGAGAGAGTCCTGCAACAACCAGTCCTGTCCTCCAAAGTGGGTCACTCTGGATTGGTCCGAGGTAAGGCCAGTAATAATAAGTGTTTTTCTGTAACTCATTGCACTGTCAAGATATGTGTTTAACACTTTTCCTTCCCTCTGTAGTGCACACCTAAATGTGGTCCTGGCTTTAAGCACCGCATTGCCTTGTGTAAGAGCAGCGACCTCACCAAGACCTTTCCGCCTGCCCGCTGCTCGATCCATAACAAACCTCAAGTCCGAATGCGCTGCACTTTAGGGCGCTGTCCTCCTCCCCGCTGGATCCCTGGTGAATGGGGACAGGTAGGACCTTGTCTCTCTCTAACTTCTTCCACAACAGTATGGCGGTTAATCCTACTGGCATGTTTAAAAGACAAAGTTTCCATAGATAAAACTCCATGTGTAGGTGAATGATTTGTATCATTTACACCTGGATGAAATACTGGGGATTCCAATCAGGCCTGTGACGCATGTGAGTGCATAGAGGCTGTGTTTGTGATTCCAAGAGTTAAAACAGGCCTGGAGTATGTGATCGGCAGCAGTAATATCTTCTTGGCTGTTTGAAGTTTATCTGCACCCCAGACGAGGCCTCTCTGTCACTTCCAGGAACAGGGTTTTGAGGAAGACAGAGGAATAGAAGTTTTGGGCTCACCCTGATATGACTTAGTATGCTCTGAAAAAGCTGCTCAACACTTTACAACACAGCTGACTCATATTGCTGAGAGGACGCCAAAAAGTCGTGCGTCAGAGATAGTTGTATCTACAAAAAGTATGGCTTGTTATTTTGTAGGATTTGTTAGTAACTCAGTGTAGAAGTGGAATTTTAAACAGTGTGCTCTGATGTTTAGAAGGCAATTGTGCAAGGATTGTGTGCTCTGATGAAGGTGATGTCATGGTTTCAGCTGTGCCGATCAGGTCAGAAGTCAAAGGTTGAGAGTCTGGCAGTTTAAGTCATAGCTTTCTGGGTTCTTTTCATATCTGCCACATGCCCGTTAACACACACAAATATCGATAACACACCTTTACAATTTAGTCTGAGCCATAAACAAAGCAGACCAAAATGTTAACCTCAACATAGTTCATCAAAGGACAGGCTTCTTGCCATGCTGAGCCAAAGTTAATACCTCATAGACCAACAGCTGGAGTCTGCCCTTACACAGCGCTTTCTGACACACTGTAGAAGTGTGTGTGTGTGTGTGTGTGTGTGTGTGTGTGTGTGTGTGTGTGTGTGTGTGTGTACTCTCTCCCCCACCTATTCTGTTTTTCTGGCTGTAATTACAAGCTTAGCCTCCACTACTCTCGTCCCTCTCTGGCCAGCTGACCCTCAAAGTGCCAGAAAGGGGGGATTGTTGCCAGCTACCAAGATCCCAGTCTCCCAGGCCAAAAGGTCTCCAGTTCAAATCCCACTAAAGTTACACCACTGACGTACGCCATCTGTCATAGCTTGCAGCGGGCCCTAATAAAGACTCTCTAATTGGGAAGGGATGACATGCAGGCTCACTGATCTAAGGCAGCCAGAGAGAATCTGTGAAGGTGACAGAAAGAGGTGGGGGGTGACTGGGTTTATTTCACACACTCGTATATGAGCACACACACATAGTTATGGCTCACAGGTGTGTTTTTTCTCAGCCTTTCCAGCATCAGCTCAGATGAACAATTCCATTATAGAGTCGAAAGTGTGCTGGCACCTACACCTTTTGTTTTTTATTAGTTTTACTAGTTTGTTTCTGTCTGTTTTTTTCCTTCTACAAAGGAGATTAGCGGCTGCCCACAAGGCCAATCTCACTTTTTATAACAACTAGCATATAAAGAGGCAGGAGCGCATTTTGTGTTTACCAAAGCAAATGTTTTATGCACCAACAAAGCAAATTTACAGTTATATTATGAGTACAGCCTTAAAGTACAGAATTTCTGCTGTAGTTTGAGCGGTGGGACATTAATATCACATTAATCTTTGTTGAATTGCAGCCATTTTTAATTTGGACAATTTACCGTATTCATAAATAAAAAACTCATACTTCTTGGAGAATCTTTCAGGCTTCCTGCCTGAACCTAATAGAAATCACTAAAAAATGGGATTCGTCCTTTGCGACGACTTTGCCAGTCCTTTACTGCAGTTTCTCTTTTTTCTTGGGTCATTTGATCTTAAGTTTGCCAAAAAAAAATAAAAAATCATTCAATGAGAACTAGTCTCCCAGCACCATTAGACAAGTCATGCATGTCAGTGCGTAACATTGATGCAATATGTTTTGGAACATCAGTTGTTCAATGGCTTTTATTTGCTCTCATTACGTGTTTTCATCATGAATCATGGAGGACTTGGATAGTTATATGCTTGCCTCTTAAGAGCGTTCTTCACTTGGCTGGATTTTTTTTTTTTTTTTTTTTACTGGAAAGGATGCTGCAATCATCATCATCATCATACAGTGCTGTGAATAAGTATTTGCCCTCTTCCTGATTTCTTTGTTTATCGCATATTTGTCACACTTGAATGTTTTAAATCGTCAAACAAATTTTATATTAGTCAAAGATAACCCAAATAAACACAAAATAATTTCTAAATTGTGATTTTATTTATTAAGGGAAAAGCTATGCAAACCTAGCTGGCTCTGCGTGAAAAAGTAATTGGATCCCCCCCCTTTTTTCTTTTTTTTTGGAAAGTTGGGCTCAGTTTCACCAGCCGAACCCGTGCCTGATCACTGCCAGACCTGTTGAATGAAGAAATCACTTAAATCGAACCTAGGCTCAAAGGTCTTAGAAAACAACACATCATGCCACGATCTCAAGAAACAGCTGAAAACAGAGACATTGAAATGCATTTGTTTTGGAAAGGGTTACAAAGCTGTTTGTTAGGCTTTTAGGCTTTAGGACTCCAGTGAACCACAGTGAGAGGCATTGTCCACAAATGGAGAAAACTTGGAACAGTGCTAAATCTTCCCAGTAGTGGTCAGCCTACCAAAATTAAAACATCAGTGACACAAAAGAACCCAAAATAAAACAAAAAAAACCTTCAAGATGCCTCATGATTCATATCTTCATGATACAACAATAATAATAATAATTTTCAACAATAAAACTCCAAACAATTTCAGTATTGCAGCAGAAACAGATGTGTTCCTGTTAGTCAAATGTTTTTGATTGCCCTTTAGATACAAGGCAGATTTTAAGATTTATTTCAGTATAACAACAAGAAAAAAAGAAAATTGACCAACTGGCTGATATCCATTACAGCTCTCCCATTGCCCAAACCTATATCAAGCTACTCTAGGTGCCAGTATACCCTCTGCATTGATCGCTTTTTGCACCGCCTCATTCGCTCATTCGGAGGAAGCCGTTGTACCATTCTCCTGAACAGTAGGTTTCCCCACTCAGATGATACTGCTAGGAAGAGAAGAAATCCAAACCTGAAGCAAAGACTGTTTAAATGTGTGTTTATTTCGGGATTTGTTTGTTTTTTGCTAGCATATAATTCACGGGAATATAATAAAATGGGGTAAAAACTGACACAATCTTACACTGGTGTCTGCAACCTGTGCTAGGTTACAAAAATCGAGAGGTGCACAAGTGACTGAAGCGTTACAAATATGATGTGTCACAAAGGATGTGACATCAAGCTCAGCACATGTGGCAAGCATAAAAACAACAAACTTTGCTATCTTTCTCACATTTTTGTTTGGGAATGTCTTTCTTTATTTTGTTTTTTTGCAAATAAGATTTTTGATACAAATTATTATAAGCAAATAAATAAATGTAATAATAGTTAAATGTGGGGGAAAAAGCTTGAAGAGAGCTTCACGTTTCTTTTTGTGATCATGAGCAGAATTACTAACCAGTCTAAACCCTTACTATACTTGTGCACAAAATATCCCTTGACAAGCAGTTTTCAAAAAAGATGTTGCAAAAGCCTTCAGAGGGTGAAGAAGAAATGAGCAGAGGGAAAGAAAAGGAAAACAAGACTCACAACAAGTATAAAGTTAAGAGAATGCCAAAAGGTAACCTTTTCAACCTCATTTGACCTGTTTGCTCAAATTTAGGAAAATGAATTCAGATTGAGGAAGGTGACTCTGGTTGGCTCTGTGTGCTCCCTCCCTTTGTGCCCCGGTGATTGTTTGATTGGATCAGGTCGTACAGTGTATGTGTGCATGTGCCGGGATTACTATGTGTGTGGAGGTCCATGAGGGAGCGCAGACTCCCTGCCTAGCATTCAGGGTCACAGAGAAAAGATGGTCCTCATTTAACTTGTTAAATTTACTGGCTAAATATGGTGTTGCGCTGACAGTGACTTTTGGTCTGGTGCTCTTTGTTTCAGTGTTCAGCACAGTGTGGTCTGGGCCAGCAGATGAGGACGGTACAGTGTCTGTCCTACACAGGACAGCCATCGAATGACTGCGTAGAGTCCCTCCGACCAGCCACCATGCAGCAGTGTGAGAGCAAGTGCGATGCCACCCCGATCTCCAGTGGTGATGGTGAGATGATGAAACATGCCATCGTGTCACAAGCAAGTTCAGTTAAGAACTTGCTTGTGCGAAAAGTTTACTTCTTGCAGTTTTCGTCACGGTCGAGAAGACAATTTCTGATCTGCAGTTTCTTTATAAGCAAAGGTTGATTGCTTTATGCTCATAGATATTGTGCTGTAGGTGCTCAGCTTTTACACAAAGCCCCACTTGAAAAGGTTATAAACTATCTCTATCTTCATCTTCACTGTTCTACTATGACCTAAACACAGTTGGATGACACGCTCTTCTACACTTTGCCAGCAACATTAATCTTTCCAGTGAGGTTGGCCCCTAGTCAAAGCGAAGCAGCTCAACCCTCCATATACACTTACACATGATGGATGGCTATTCAGATATGTAGAGAAGGGGCCTTCGATTAGCCTGAATGGAAAACGTGAGCAGCGTTTACAGGCTGGCTAATGGGATTAGCTGTAGGCTAATTGTTCCTTTACGGACAGCAGTGAGGCAATGTCTCGTTTCATTTGGCTCTGAGAAGGCAGGGGCCAAAGCCTAATAAGGGAAGACACTCTGATCATGATAAGGCATTTAGAGCACTGCCTGTCTGGCATCCAGCTAGCAGTCTGTGTGTGTGTGTCTGTGAGTGTGCATAGTAGGGATGGCAGCCAGCCCAGTTAGTGAACGAGGCCAGGATCTGTCTTAGTCTCTGCATCCAAGTATAGTTGCAGTTTTATTCTATTCAGACCTGAGGGAGATCCACAAGCTCTCATGTAGCAGTTTAGTCCAGTTTGTATATCTCATATGTTATCATTACATCGCTGTTTAATGACTTGCCTTCATTCTGAAAGTATTTAATAAATACGCAACCTCTTCTGACCATCTATTTTAACCTATTTATCAAGTTTGCCTTTGCTGCAAAACAAAAGCTAGATGTATATGTGTTATTTTTATTAAATATAATGTTGCAAAGAAAAATGACTGTATATTATTAGTGTTGATGAGATATCATTTGAATTTTGATGTAGCACACATTTGGAGTCAGCATGTCAGCTATCACTGGATTTTCAATTCGGAAATACTTCAAATGATTGATAATATTGTTCCATGAGAACAAGATGTATATAAAAGATGCACAGTGCTGTGAAAAAGTATTTGCTTCTTTCCTGATTCCTAGGTGTATATATATGTATATATATTATATATATATATATATATACTATATATATATATATATATATATATATATTTATATATATATATATATATCTTATATTGTTATATACTATATATATATATATATATTTATGTGTATATATATAATATATGTGTATAATATATATATAATGTGTATATATCATATATGTATATATATATGTATATGTATATATTATATATATGTGTATATATGTATATGTGTATGTATATATATGTGTATTATATTATGTATATATATATGTGTATGTATGTATGTATATATATATGTATGTATGTATATATATATGTATGTGTATATATATATGTATGTGTGTGTATATATATATATATATATATATATATATATATGTATATATATATATATATATATTTATATTTGTGTATATATGTATATATATATATATATGTGTATATATATCTCAGCAAACACATTTTAATATTAGTCAAAGATTACTTGTGAAAATGCAGTTTTGAAATAATGGTTTCCTCTATTAGGAGAAAATAGCCTACCTGGCCCTATATGAAAAAGTAATGGCTCCCTCTTGTTAAGTCATGAATTAACTGTGATTAACCACATTTTTTGGAAAGCTGAGTTCAATTTCACTAGCCACAGCCAGGCCTGATTACTGCCAGTCCTGCTGAATCAAGAAATCACTTAAAGAGAACCTGTCTGACAAAGTGAAGCAGATCTCTAAAAAATCTCTAGAAATAACACATCATTTCATGATCTAAGGAAACAGCTGAGAAACTAACATGCCATTGACATTTATCAGTTTGGACAGGGTTACAAAGCCATTTCTTAGGCTTTGGGACTCCAGTGAACCATGTTGAGAGTCATTATCCACAAATAGAGAAAACTTGGAGGGCAGGCCAGCTTACCTAAATATACTCTAATAGTGCATCAGCAACTCCAAGAGGTCACAGAAGAATCCAGAACAACATCTAACTGCAGGCCTCATTTGTCTCAGTCTAGGTCAGTCTTCATGATTCAACAATAAGAAAGAGAAAAATGGCATCCATTGGAGAATTTCAAGCCAAAAACCACCGCTGATAAATTTTTTTAAAAAAAAACCCCACAAAGGCTCGTTTCACATTTGCCAAAAATATCTTGATGATTCTAAAGACTTTTGGCAAAATATTCTGTGGACTGACAAGACAAAAGTTGAAGAAAGTTTGAGTGCTGTTATATTTGGCACAGTCAAACATGGTGGTAGTAGTGTACTGGTCTGGGGCTGCTTTGCTGCTTCAGGGCCTGGATGAATTGCCGTAATTGATGGAACCATGAATTCTGCCAGAAAATCCTGAAGGAGAATGTCCAACCATCAGTTGACGACCTGAAACTTAAGCGCAATCGGGTTATCAAGCAAGATAGTAATCCAAAACACACCATCTAAGCTAAGGGTGGCACAACCAGTTAATACATTAATACAGTGCCATGTAGATAGATATATGTAATAGATATATTTATATATAGTCTAGGGAAATAGGGGTGGTTTTACTTAAAAGGTGACAATATGTAGATGATTGTGTTATGTTAGGTATAAAAACTTTCTTGTGTGTGTGTCTTTTTTTTTAGTCAGCTCCTATGACGAGGAGTTTTCCTCTTAAACATAGCCAGACTAATAAAAGATATGTTTTCTTTTGCTGTCTTTATATCTGAGGTCTTTTCTGTCTCTCCACAGAATGCAAAGATGTAAACAAAGTGGCTTATTGCCCGCTGGTACTGAAGTTCAAGTTCTGCAGTCGAGCGTACTTCAGACAGATGTGCTGCAAGACTTGCCAGGGGCACTGACCCTTTGAATACAAGAGTGAGACAAGAAGATGGTCATAAAGGCAAGAACGATGGAGGGATACAGTGCTTAAGAGGGTGAGAAGAAAACAGCAGACTGGAAAATGCATCCCGACTCTGAACCAGTGGAAGAATGAAAAAGTTGTCAATGTTGAAGACGGGAGAAAAGCGAGGATTTCCCTGTTTATCATACCCCATACTCCTGCCCTCTGTCGTGGTGGAATCTAAACCACTGCTCAGCCAATGATGCTGACACAAACATTATTTTTTTGTTTTTTACATTTTCACTTCTGTGAAGTGGAACTCGGAAGACTAACTGTTGGTGATGTTATCTTTTATTATAATAATAATTATTAATATCATTGTTAGTCTTCCTCAGTGTTTGTTTTTTTTACGAATCCAAAGTGCTGGACACATCGCTCGCAGAGGATGTACCCCGGAGATTAGAAGAGGGGGGATGGGAGACTCCTGTCTTTGGGATGACTGTGATGGTGCTATTGGCAGAGCAGGCTTCGGTGCACTTTTTTCATGTAAATACCAATTTACTGCTCAAATGCAACAGAGAATCCCTGTTGGTGTACTGTATATTTATTGTACAATCCAAAACAGAGCTGATATATTGTCCTCTGATCATCTTTTCGCCAGATAGTAGCCTATTGTTATGGAAGGGAATGTAATGTGATTGAATTCATATTCAGTTTCTTTTTTGCTTGAGTGAAAATATTACATACTGTAACATATGTTAAACCCTTGTATACTGTAAGGATTTGTATATTATATACATATGTTAATCCAGGGCCAAAAATTACACCGTGGTTATTGGAGATTTTTAAATCTTTTTTTTCCCCCAGCTGGGTGCCTTAGTTCTTAACAGTCAGGTAAAAGTTCACCCAAAATCACCAAAGTCATCTTTTCAAATGGTGCCTACGCCACATGAAAAATTAGTGACCAGACCTTTACTAGCATCTTACTCAGTTTGGTATTAAAGGATTTATAGGTTTTGTTCATCTGAGTTGAAGTGCAGTCACCATTACATACTCTCTTTAAGGATCTTTTTGAGGTAAACTAATAGACCCGCAGTTTGCAAAATGGCCTTCTTACCAATGATTACATGAAAAGATTGATATATGAGGTCTGGGCAAGACGATCGTTAGCTCAGGCCTCAGTCACAGTTTAATACTGGCAACACAAATAGGGTGATCCTCAGCAAACGTCCCTGTGATTGCTTTAGTTATTAGCAGATTGCCACCTTGGTCACCTGTAGTTTGCATGAAAGATGCCAACTTATCTGCAGACATTTATTTCTTGAGCTTTAATGACATTTTAATTAGTTATTTGCTTTTAAAGAATAAGTTGTGTCTTACTGCTGCAACCTACATATTTTGGAATGTGTAACTTTTACTTTGAAAGCATATGTTTAGGTTACACTTACCATTTCACTACTGCTTGGTAAGTCCGCTTCTTCCATGCAAAAAACAGCTGAAAATGGAAATCTGTCAGTGTCCAAAGCAATTTCAGAGAATTTTTCTGTCCAGCACCCTTGCAGCGACCAATTTATGCTAGTGACTGCCAGCAACCTCCAGCAATCAGTTGCCAAACAGTTGTAAAATACACATGGGGGTTGGCAGGAGGTCATTAACTGGTCTGCACACTAGTGTGCACAGCTGTTTGACTAAGACCTTAGGAAAAGTGGAGGGAAAATGCTGACTAGCTAGGGTGACGTGAATCAACCTATTAGCACATCTAAAGCTCACCAATTTACAATTAACATTTAATGTAAAAAAAAATTAATAATGATGATTAAAAGTCTCGATTTAAATGTAAATTAGGACATAAATCAGTAAGTGTTTATAATGTTGCTTTTGTCTTTAGTACAAAACCAGCTCCATATAAATGTCGTATGAAGACCAGTTCAGCAACAGTTTGCAACAGCTAATATGTCTGTTTAATTTAGCTCTGTGATCTTTAAATAAGCAGTACTGTATCTGCTTGAAGCCACCAATGCAAGCAAAGACTTAATTTGAAGATTTGGTTGTCAATATTGTTGAACACTTCTGGCTTTATGGGAGGTTAATCACAGGCTGCCTGACTTGTGAAGCTGATGCTTTAAGGGGGACTAATGAAATAAATGTAGCCTACCCATTCATTCTCATCAAAGATGCCCACTGGCACAGAAACTGAAACTGAAAACACATTTTAACCCCCCCCCCCCCCCGAAAAAATAAATAAATAAATAAAAATAAAATGGGGGAATGTGATATGGGACAAAATAGGAAGGCATCTCTCCAACCTTCCAGCCTTTTAGACTAAGCTAACGTGTGGGATCATTCACAAGGAAGTGAACAGGCCTGTTTCACAAATATTGAGATATTCCTGTTAAATATACATGCAAACACCACTTTTGTTGCCAGGCTATGTCAGCTGGCTTCACTCTGCTGCTCACAGACTCCACATTCTGCCTCCTACCCCCATCATGTTCATCATCATCATCATCATCATCACCTTTGTCCCATAAATGAATAAAAAAAACAAAACAAAAACAGCATACTCAGTGGTGCTTGCCCTGCTCTTGTACTTTTTTTATTTTTTAATTTCCAAGAAATACTGTGTTTACCTCTCTTTCCTCCTGCTATGCTTCGAGGCTTGCGGCCTTCCCAGGCTTCTGGTGCTATCAAGTGGGTGCTTCCATTGAAACCCGTTCCAGTGTGCTAAAAAGAAAAGTGAGGCTGGATCCAAACAGTATGAAAAAAAATATATATATACTTGTCAAAATTTCTGTTGATTTAATGCTGGTCATGTTATCGTTTAGTTTGTATCTGTCTATACCTCACACTGGGAATTTTCATTGTCAACTGTGTATTGTTGCTTGTGCAGCCAACAAAACAGTCACCCCCCCTGGACGAAAGCGATCACTTTACCCAGGTGACGTTTGGGTTGTGAAAGGGGAACAGCAATTAAAGTGAGTGTGTAAGGATCTTGTCAGAGCTGTTAAAACCGACGTTCTAATTTTGCTGCTGCTACGTTGTTTTTTTTTTGTTTTGTTTTGTTTTGTAGCCACCTTCAGAATGACAGTGCTGAGCAGATTTTGTTGGAAAGGATGGTGGATGCTGCATTCAAAGACAGCAGAATTCAAACTGCTTGAACTGACTCATCTACTGGCTGTGGGATTAAGAAGCTCCGTTTAGAAAAAGAAAAGACAACTTAATCAAACTGGTACTCGTTGCTGTGAACTTGGATGTTTGAATGTCACATTGCTTCAAAACGTATCTGAAGTGCAAGCGAAATGAAAAGCATCATGTGATTAGCTGCATATATTTTGTATTCAGTATTATTGTTGGTACACTGTTACTAATTTTTTTTTCAAATGTAAATTATATGCTAATTTATTGCATTGTCACTTGTACATTGATTTCACTGCATGCAAACTGAAATTTAGCATAGTGAAAAAAATGCCATGATACGGCCCTTCACCAACTTTTTTTTTTAAGTAGATAAATGAATAAAAAGAGCAGCTTTTAAACTGAATCCTCTGTTAACACATTCATTTTTACTATGCTTGTCAAAACATATTAGAGCGTGCAACCTTAAACTTGCATGGCAAGGTTATTTCCATCATTAACTGGGTTTTGCTCAGGTTCAGTGGTTTGGAGACAAAGAGGTGGAGCTGAGATAGTTTAGATGTGCAGCGGCAGGATGGTGGCTATATTAGACAAAGGATGTTGAACATGGAGCTGCTAGGCAGGAGATAAAGTAATTCAGTTTTATTTATATAGCGCCAAATCACAACAGTCGCCTCAGAGAATTGGAATCAACATTATTTATTTGTATAAATGTTAATAGCCATCCTCAAACTAAGCATTTAGTCTTTTTATTTATTGTATTATTATTATTTATATATTATATTTATTTTATTATGTTATATATTTTATCTTTATCGTTTCTTCTCTAACCCTGTGTTTTAGAGAAAAGTCAAAAAGGAACTTTTACTGGGGAAAAACAATTAATGTATTAATGTTCATCAGAATGTGTTTTTTTTTTTTTTTGCCACCTTATTATCAATACTTGTGAAGAGAATCCCACACTGGAACAGCATGGAGTTGGAGTTATATGTTAGGGTTAAGGATTGCAATACCTCAGCAGTGATTCCTGTGAGAAGGAAACACTCAGGATGAAATATGGTGCCAGGGTGGATGCCCCACTCACAGGGTTTAAGAGATGTATACTCTTTTTTTTAAATTCAACTTTTGGAACATCCTTAGAGTGAGAACGGCTGATGGTGTTACACCAGGATATTGGTTACCAGCTTTAAAGAAGTGCATTGATTTGCTGCCTCAGTTTAGGGTGACCATGTCAAAGAAGGGACTTTTGTTCTGATCCACCTTACTCGAAATCCCCAGCCACATCATTATCTGAGATTCAAGGATAAGACTTGCCAAACATTTTTGTTGATATAGTTTTATTATTGGACTTTACGTTCTCTTATCCCCATCAGAAAGTGTCTAGGTCCACTCGTAGGAAGCTCTGAGATTTCCACTCTCCCTGGTAATTAATTCCAAATAAACAGTAACTAGCCCACTTGGCTGGGAAACACAGCCATCTCTGTCTAATCCAGTGTCCAATTACTGGGGGAGACAGATGGCCTGTTTGGTTTAATGTAACCAGTTTAGAATACCTGTATGTCTGGCCCAGCTTCTGTCTCTTACACTGGCCCTTCTGCAGGGGTCTGTGATTACATTAGCCCCAACCTGTGGAGCTTAAGGTGACAAGGAGAGAGAGAAAAATAAGAAGCTGAGGGATCGTGTATCTGCAGATGACCTGACAGCCATGAGGTGACTGCCTTACATGAAACATTTACACCTGATTATGTGAGCACATACGTCCATGAGAGCTTGCTGTAGACTCAACACACAAACAGAAAGAAACAGAAGCCATCCACTGGATACTGTGAATGTACACATGGACAAGAAGCCTCCAGGCAATGAAAGCAAGATTTACTGGTATTTACCTTTCTTGGTTTCAGGGCTGCAGGTCTTAAGTCTCATGAGTTCAGGCCTTAGAATCCCACCAATCCATTGAGCTGACTTATTTGTCTGGGATGGTGACATGAAAAAGTAGTTTCTTGGTTGACTGGGAGGACTAACAATAGGCCATTCAACAATAGCTACAACTGCACTTTTAACTAATCAAATATAACTTAAAAAAATAAATTATGTGATTTTCTCTTAAATGGAAGTTTAAAAGAACAGGTTTTAGCTCTCCTGTGTTTGTGCAACATTTCAGGATACCAGTGTGCAACATGTCAACTGATTTTTTGACTTCCAATTCAACTGTAATACAGCAGGAGAAGAACCAAGCAAGGGGCAGCTTCCAGGATTAAAAAACGAAGCCAAAGCAGAAGTTCCACAAACTGCAGTTCAGTTGCTATAATGTCTCCAGAAACTGGCTTCAAAAGCAGCTTGGTTGGTTGGTTTTTGGGGTATGCAACCAATACAGACGTGTAGCATGACAGTGATGATGCTATGCATAGTTAGTGGAGGGGATAGAAACAGCAGAGTCCAGCATGAAGGTAAAAAATCTTTTTTTAAAAAGGCTAATCGCTCAACTGCACAAACACAAACAAGAGTACCCCACCTAGCACTTCATTGCATGCTCACAACTAGTTATAACATGAAGACTACAGGAAAGAAAAGTGTAATCTTTTTACCGTTATATGTTACCTTTAATAGTTAAGGAGATAAAATTAGTCTCTCTGACTTGCAGGGAGACACTTGAATGGAGGAGTGATAGTGTGATTCCCAGTACATCGGCTTAGTAAGACTAGGAGCTAGCAGGCTACTTATGATAAGAGGTGTGGAGAGGACGAGGATCAGATTTCTCTAGCAACCTCCTGACAATGAAAGAAGCCATTGCTGTGTTTTATCAGCAACACAATATCTTACAAGCTATGACAAAACAAAGCTGTGCAAAGATACACCAGTGATAAGACACCAACAATTCCCAGGTTGAGAACTCAGGCTCGACTACATGCTGGAATTCCTCCGAGAGTTTTCTGCTGTGTGTCCGACTTAACAATCTGCCACCCCTTGAAGTTTAAAACCCCAAATACCTGTGGATTTACTCTTGCCTGTGGTCCTGTGGCCCTGTCATACCTCTGTTTGTGTGCCCATTCTCCAGCTGAGAGGTGTGAGGATTAGCATAGTGATGAATAACATAGAGTAGCACTGTAAAGGTTTATCTTAATCAGAAGAGCTGTGCCACTGCAGTATGTGCGATGAGTGCTTGAAGTGTTTTGGACACTCTTCCATTTGAACGCAGTGCAGCAGGACAAACAGCTCCAGATGGTGTGGCTGGAGACACTACATGCGTGGATCCAGGGGGTCTGACAGGCAGGAATGCTGGCCTAGGGTGGGAAGGTCATGGCTTCAGCACCTGCTATCTACTGGGCTCTGTCCTGTTAAGCCCTGCTGCTTTTTCCCACAGCTGAGGCCCAGACTGAACTGCCATGGGTGAGATCAAAGGCCTTCACAGAGAGTTGGAGAATGGCTGCAATCACAGCATTGTAAGATGGCAAAAGATGTACCCTTAGGCCCTCTCTTCAATTCAGAAATGGTCTTTCCCTTTTTTTTTTTTTTCTTTTTTTTTGCCTGTCCCGTTTGGCTCTTTTGCCATTAGAATTGTTGTCTAAAGGCAAAGAAAGATGCCCAACGGATTTACTTTACCAAATTGACCATCCCAGCCTTGCCATAATGGTCCATTTGATTCACCTTTTATTGTTTATTTTATTTTCACTTACTGAATATGGGACAGACTTGACTGGGGGAAAGAAGGGGAGAAAGAAAGAGGGAAAGAGAAACAGCTGAGAAGAGGGACGGGGGAGAAGGGCAAAAACCAAAAACCAACTGAGTGAGCAGAAAAAGAAAAGAAAAAAAAATGCATATATCAGTCACCTGGGTCACCTGCTGAGAAAGAAAAAAGAAAACAAGCAGAAGAGAACAAGAGTAATAAAATAAACAACATCACAATGATATATGGGAATATGACAGTAAATACTAAATATTACACATTATTGTGCAGCACATAAGATCAACAGAACACAGTGTGCTTTGAGGTAGGAGCCAAAAAGGGTGTAGTTTGTGGGTGTGATCACCCGTGGTACACCTGTGAGCATGGACGCGCTTGTTTTTTGTTTTTTAAAAGGTTCCTTCA